GATGACCATCGCACTACCTTTTGCTAGGTGGGGAGTAGACCTGCTGGGTCCTCTGCCGGCGGCTGCTGGTGGAAGAAAGTTCGTCATCGTGGCGGTTGATTATTTCACGAAGTGGGTCGAGGCCGAACCATTGGCCTCCATCACTGAATTCCAGTGCCAGAAGTTCGTCTGGCAGAACATCATTTGCCGCTTCGGGATCCCGGAGCAGATCATCACAGACAACGGTCGGCAGTTCGTCGGCAGAGGTTTTGAGGCATACTTGGCAAAGTGGGGCATCAGGCACTCTAAGGCCTCGGTGGCCTACCCGCAGGCCAACGGCCAAGTAGAGAACATGAACCGGACCATCATGGATGGGATCAAGAAGAAGTTGGAAGACTACGCCTCCACTTGGCCGGAGCAGCTGAATTATGTCTTGTGGACATATAGGACAACGCCCAGAACGGCGACTGGGGAAACCCCTTTCGCCTTGGCTTATGGGTTCCAAGCTAAGGTACCGACAGAAGTATTGGTACCTACACACCGCACCAAGCACTTCCAGCCGGAGGACAACGAAACCAACCTACGAGCGGAGCTCCATTTCATTGAGGAACGGAGGGACCTAGCGGCTCGTCGCATGGAAGAATATCACAGGGCCACCCAGAGATACTTCAACAAGGCCGTGAAATTCCGCGAAATAGAGGCCGGGGACCTCGTACTCAGGAAAAGAGAGAAGAGCAAGCCGCTCGAAGGCGGCAAAATGGCGAAGAACTGGGAAGGACCTTACCGGGTCATCAGAAGATACAACCAGGGGACGTTCCTCCTCCATACCCTGGAGGGGAACCATGCCGGGATGTGGAACGTAGAACACCTGAAGAAGTTCTACCAATAGTTAGAGGATAATGTTCTTGTCTTTATTCCCACTCCCATGTAATGTGACCGGACGTCGTCAATAATAAGGCCCCCTGTTTTTCATCACTTCTGTCCTTGCCAACGGCCATTAAAGAAGGGAATCTCGATGCAGATAAACCTGTTCCTCCTTGTGATGTCTGCGGATACCGAACGTCTCCTCGAAGTAGGGACGCCGGTAGGACCAAGGACCAAGGACGAACGAAGCACCAGGGAATCTCGATGCAGATAAACCTGTTCCTCCTTGTGATGTCTGCGGATACCGAACGTCTCCTCGAAGTAGGGACACTGGTAGGACCAAGGACCAAGGACGAACGAAGCACCAGGGAATCTCGATGCAGATAAACCTGTTCCTCCTTGTGATGTCTGCGGATACCGAACGTCTCCTCGAAGTAGGGACACCGGTAGGACCAAGGACCAAGGACGAACGAAGCACCAGGGAATCTCGATGTAGATAAACCTGTTCCTCATTGAGATGTCGGCGGATACCGGACGTCTCCTCGAAGTAGGAACGCCGGTAGGACCAGGGACCAATGACGAACGAAGACCATAGATTACCTCCCTCAAAAAAAAAAAAAAAAAAAGAAAAAAATGGGGAGAAGAGGAGGGTAGCTCCTATACGGAAGGGAATCTTGCCCGGGTGTGCCAGATCTTCCCCCACCGCCGAAGACGAACGCCTCTCGATGTAGAGGTTAGTAGAGACGTGGAGGGGGCTAGACGAACCAAGGGAGCCTGCCAAGATAAACCTGTTTATCCCACAAATGACCATGGATCGATGGACGTGGGATAACGAAGACGGGAACCCGTGAGGGTAAACCTGTTCGTCCCTGCGAGTTCCTTGGGTACCGAACGTCTTCTTCGAAGCAAGAGACGCCGGTAAGACTAAAAGGGCCACAGACGAACGAAGAAAGGGGGAATCTCGATGTAGATAAACCTGTTCTCCCTTGCGATGTCTACGGATACCGCACGTCTCCCCGAAGTAGGGACGCCGGTAGGACCAGGGACCAGGGACGAACGAAGACTAAAAGACTCCAAAAAAAAAAAAAAAAAAAAAAGATGCCAGACGAGCATGGAGCAAAGAATGATTTTTATTCCTCGGCACTATTGGCCGGAAAATTACAATGTATGAGGGTACAATACAAATTATGAAAAATTGTACAAGTACAAGATAATGAACGGAGAATCACGGCCGATCGGCGTCCGGAGCTGGAGCTTGGGAAGGGGCCTGCTTGGATTTGTCACTTTTAGCGGCTTCCTCCTGCTCCTTCAGCAGCTCAAGGGCCCCTGCATGAGCATCTGCCATCAAGACGTCGAAACCAGCCGCCTCCGGATCGAAGGGAGCCCCAAAGTGACGCTCGAACGTCGGGAGATTCTCCGCTACTAGCCCAACCATACCTTTGCGGTAGGTGTCATCGGCGAGATCGTCAAGGAAACGACGTCCGGTGGGGGTGGCCTGGAGCAATTTAACCCCATCCTGGTAGGCATCCGGGCAGGTGGCCAGGAACTCGCCGACGAGCCGCGGGAGGAACTTCATGGCCATGGTGTGGATGGCGCCAGTATAAGCCTTGGATTTCTGGAAGGCAATGGAACCAGACTCCTTGATTTTGGCAACATCGGCCTCATAAATAGGGACGTGATTGTCCACGCCCGTCTGGCGAAGCTCCACCTTGGCCTTCTCTACGGCCCACATCCGGCTGCGGAGATCCACGAGCTCGGCCTCCTGCTTCTTGAGGAGCTCCTTCTGAGAGGCATTCTCCTGAACAAGCTTATCATAGGCATCGGCTTTCTCTTGAAGAGTGCCAGCCCTGCCTTTTGCATTCCTCAGAAGGGCATCACACTCAGCCCGCACTCTGGCCATCTCCCTGCCCTGGTGCTCGAAGGCCATCCGAGCCCTGTGAAAGTAGAGCCCGGCCTTGTCCAAGGTACTCTGGCCGCACTCCAAAAGATCCTCAGGGGCCTCCTGAGCAGCGAAATCCTGCGGGACCTTGAGATTCAGCCCACACCAGATGGAGGACGCTGTCTGGCCAAAGAGCATCATAGACTCTTTGCGGGGGCCGACCCCGGAAAACTCGATCAGGCCAAGAGAAGACTCACCGGCTCCTGGGGGAGAATTCGGACGGACGTCGCCAGAACCTTTGGCGGTTGGGGTATCATCATCCCGGAGACGGCGGACGCCGGAAGTCCTCGGAGGAGAGGCACGGAGATTGGTCCGAGAAGTGCGCTTCCGTTTGAGGGGACTTCCGGGCTCCCCATCAGAGTCGTCAGCCACTATAATGGCCTTGGAGGCAGTACCCTCGACGCGCAGCCTCTTGGAAGCGCCAGCTCCCGAATCATCCTCGGCCCGTGCCCTGGTCACCCGGTGTTCGACCTTAGGGACGAGCGGCCTCCCGGGCTTGTCATGCCCCTTGTGCTCACGGCCGGTGGCAGTCGAAGCAGCGTTGATTCGGCCCATGGTGGACGTGGATAGAAAAACTCCTGCACAAAGGGAATCAAGACGTTCAGAACCATAACAGCGAAGAGATGTTAAAACAATACAAGTACAAACGGACGCACCTAATCCAGCCTGAGCTTTAAAGGGCTCGGCCACCAGCAACCGGAGGTTCTGGACGCCAAGTCCGGCTATGCGCTTGGCATATCCAAGCTCCTCGTCCGTCATGGGCGGCGGGATCGTCTTCACGGGGTAAGCGTTCCACCGATCAGAGAATGGCATCGGTGAGCCTACTCCGGCCAGGAAGAAGCGTTCTTCCCAACCGTCTGGATTCCCACCATTGTTCGAGAATAGAACCATGGACGGACGGGCGATCAGGGTCAAATACCCTGTACATCCGAAGGTGGATAGACGGAAGAAGTGGTGCAGCAGGTCCACGGTGGGGGTCACACCGACGCTGTGGCATCTAATGATGAAGCCAGCGATTATCCGATAGGCGGCAGGGACGAGCTGCGCAGGCACAATCTCAAGGGCCCTGAAAAGTTCCAAGTGGAAGCTGTGCAGGGGGAAGTTCAGCCCGGCTATCACCGAATCCAGGTGGACCACCACATAGCCGGGCAGATGGCGCATGGGGTTCCGCAGACGCCGATCGTCATAGGCCCTTGGGGGATAAAACCATTGACTGATCAGTCGCTTATCAGCGTTCGTCAGGCGTTGAACTTGACGCCGAACGCATGAGAAGCTGAGGCTGTAACGGGGAGGCCGGGGTGGCATTCCCCGCTCATAATATTCCAGGTCATCACCGGAAGAACATCCATCGTCAAAGCGACTTTCGGAAGACATGACAACGAACGGTACCTTTGGGGTTCGAGATTTCCGATACGGGTTGAGAGAAGTCTAGAGAGAGAAGACAATTGTGCAGCGTAAGGAGAAATGTGAGTGGATCACTTGGACCCTGGGTATTTATAGGCAACACCGCGGAATTGCCCCAACCGAAGCAGGACACGTGGCGCCTGGGTACCGGTACCTACCACGGCATTTAAGGCGTCTCGATTTTGTCGCCGCATAACCACCACAAAGACATCCGGGTCCGTGCCACGAACGTCCCTTGAGGAGGGCTCACCGGCTCGGAGGGGTTTGAAGACATTCGCCTTCCTATACTTCCGTAATTCCCCGGCTGACCCTAGCGTCGGCGGCTGATGAGGACACACGCATCAACCGGCTACGTCCGTCTTGCAGTACACCAGTTTTTCATGTCACGCAACTGTAGACGAACGTCGTCACCGAGCGCTGTTTCAGGGAAATACGCCCATATGTCCATACTCGAGAGGCGTACTGACAAGGCAACTACCGACGAACGTCTTCCCATTGTCAAGATACCGCGTGGGCGGTAAAGATGTGTCGAGGCGCCGGAAGGATTTCGTATACTACAAACGATGGACACAAAAAGGATGAAGTAAAAATCACGTCCATTAGGGGTGCACGGAGGATGAACGTCGCCTTTCCACACTTCGTGCCAGATGAACATGCAGGACAGACGGACACCCTTGCGCGAAGCTTTAGCGTTCATGCCACGCGACGATAGAGGAACGTCGTTAGCAAGCATTGAGGCAATCTCCGATGTGCGTATGACCACACTTGCAAAGCATGCTGTTTGGCCAACCCCCGACGAACGTCGTCTTGCCATCAGAATGCTGTTGCAGGAGGGGCAGCCAGTATCGGCGCCGGGTGTCACCGTCCGAAGACGGACCTTAACACTGGCGCCGCGCACTAAATGTGTACAGGGCTTTGGCAAAGAGACGCCCCTGCCCCCAAACTAAATGGGGAACAGAGATGAACGTCCACGCAGACTATGCGACAGAGAATATCGAAACACAAGGGGAGTTTCCATACAACAAAGGACAAAAGGAAGGAAAATAACAAGTAGAAATCATGAACATGGAACAATTATGGGCAAAAAGATGTATATTCTTCGGCTCTAACGGCCGGACATTACAAAAGCACGAACGGAAAAATACAAATTATATTATACAAAGAAAGGGGATTCCGGTCGGCTGCCGCCCTGATTCGGCTCCTCTTCCTCGGGCTCGGGGGACGGGGGTTCCGGAACTTCCCCCCTAGCCTTGGCCTCCTCCCGCCGTTGGTCTCTCCCCAATTTCCCCAAGGCTTGGAGAAGCAGATCATCGTCTGTATGTGCGGCAAGCTCGAAGCCGGCCCCCTGCAGCCTTGAGAAGATGGGAAGGGTGGCCTTGACCCCCTCATTATAGCCAGCGGCGAAGGAGCTGTCGCCGACCTCGTAGAGGAATTTATGCGACAGGGGGGAGCTCTCCAGGATCCGCACGCCGCTCGCCAAGCGCTGCCGGGGCGGGATCTTTGCCAATGCTGCGGAGAATACGTCACCGAAGGCCCCGGCGCAGTAGTCCCTGGCGGAGTCCATAAACTCCCCGGTGTTCCGATAGCCGGAGGTATCAACCAGCCACTCCGGACTGGCATCCCTTGCAGCACGGTGCACCGGTACAAGCTTGAAGCCAGCTTTCTCAAGGCTGACCAGCTGCTGGCGGGATTCCGCCCGCAGAGCGGCGACCTCTTTCTCCTTGGCCGCCGCCTCCGCCTCCGCTCGACGAGCGGCCTCCCGGGCCGCAGCAACGGCCGCATCAGCTTTAGCCTTGGCCTCCTTCAGATCGGCCTCCCTGGCAGCTTCAGCCTGAAGGACTAGAAGCCCAGACTGGATGACAGAAGAAAAAATAAGGATCAGAGGATGAACGTCAAGGAAAAGATATATATACTCAGATCTAGCAAGGAGGAATTACCTGAAGAGCGGCTGCCAGGGCAGCGCTTGTCGCCTCAGAGGACGAACGGCTGGGCAGCTCGAGACCGGCCTTGAAGGCCATCTCCCTCCAAAGCTCTTCCGCCGGGCGGCTCAATGGTAGAGAGCCGGCATCTTCAAGCAGGGGCCCGGCGGAGCCTGCCTCGCGGCCCCTCTTCTGTCTCTTCTCGGGGACTTTCTCCGTCCCCTTTTGAGGGGCCGCCTTCGACGGGACGACCGGCGGTGGAAGGGCAGCTTCAAGAGCAGGAGCCCCAGAACCCTGAGCCAGCACAGTAGCGATCAGGTGCTGCTCACCCTCGGCAGTTCGCCGGGCAGCGTCAGAAGCCGAGGAGTTGGACTCCGAGGCGGGGGCATTTTTGGCTTTCGCCAGTGCGGCTTTAGCAGCGGCCGCTTTGGCCTTCCTTGTCTTCAAACACTCGGCGTGATTCATCTGATCTCTGTCTGGCGGAGAACCTGCAAGAAACAACAAGGATTAGAAGACGAGCGGGAAATAGAATAAGACACTCACCTCGAAGGACAGGACCGCCCGGTGCCCCGAGACGAGCGTCGAAGGGTAGAAAAAGTCCAGGGACACGGGCGGTACCTATGCCTGCCCCGGAGAGTGCCTCGAAGGTCAGATACTCGGCTATTGGACGGACGCCCCCCTCCAACACCTTCTCCACATCCCAGAGTAGATCGTCGGTCGGCTCCGGAGACTCAATCTTTGGGGGATAACCATTCCACCGAACCGGGAGGGGGGGCCCATCGTATCTAAGGAAGAAGAAGCGGTTCTTCCAGTCGTGAATGGACGAAGGGTAATTCTTGAAGATCTTCCTCCCTGGACGTGCGGCCACGCTCAGATAACCGTCGGAGTTCTGGGGAGTGATGCGGTAGAAGTAGTGGAAAAGCTCCAGGGTGGCAGTGGCTCCCGCTAACTTGCAGCGCACCAGAAAGGCAGATATGAACCTGTAAGAATTTGGCATGAACTGCGCCGGGGCCACCTGGAAACAGTGGAAGAATTCCACATAGAACGAATGAAGTGGGAACCGCAGCCCAGCTTCAACGGAATCCAGGTGAAGCATGATCATCCCCGGGCGTCTCCTCATCACGTGCTCAGCGCCTCTCACGCTCCAGACGAACGGCGGGGGGAAGAAAGTGCGGATTTTGTTCAGAGCAACCCGGGAGAGGACCTGATCGGGATCAAGGGCGCTTCTGATCGGACAGATGTGGCGCTCCATGTCCGTGGGGATGCCCAGGTCATATACATCCATGTCAGAGCCAGATTCGGCTTCTTCCCCGGAGTCATAATTGGCGGGACGCTCATTCAGGGGGACTGCGTCAATAATATCTACTGCCCCGTCAGCACCCCCGCCCCCGGCGTCGCTCCCACTACTCTGAGAAGCATCATCCGGCTCAACATCAGCCCGGATGGTCCCTACCGTCGTGGCCGAACCAGAGGTCCCAGAAATACTGGCCTTCCCGGGGGAGCGCGCACTCACATCAACCGAAGAGGAGCCCGAGGAGGAACCCGACGAACCGGAGTCAGAACTTGACGAAATCTCCATCGAAGTCATTTCGGCTAAGAATCAGAACAAGAAAGAAGCAGAAGGGGGAAATTACCTTACAAAGGGGTTAGCCGAATTCAGGAGACTTGAAGAGCTGCGGAAAATCGAGAGCAAGAGAGCAGAAATTGGGAACCCTAATTCAGAGGGAAAACCCGGCATTTATAGGAGAGAACACCGTTGGGGCAGCCAACGAGGGGCTGACACGTGGCAAGGAGCGTATTCCAGCCCACGCGCTGTGCGTGGGGCAAAAACGTAATGATGACATTTCCTCGGGAAATACTCCGCCGCAACATCAGCCGTCACCTCGTTTCCTGAACCGTCGACAGCTGTCAAGCACCATGACCACGAGCGTACGCTTCCAACGGGTGCAGAAAACACAAGTACCAAGGCGCGAACGTCTGCCTCGAGGGGATTCCTACTTCCTTATGTCCTGCGCGAGCCCAGAACATCAGAAGTGGGGGACTTGTGTTGGGTAAATGGCCCAAGCCGAGGTCCGGCCCACTAACCCATATTGCCAGACGCACGTCCAGTTAGAACATCAGGACAGCCCACGGGCCCATGTTCCTTGAGGATGGACGAACGTCTGGTGTCGGGGGCTCAGGCCCAGCAGCTCATCCCGACGAACGTCTATCCAGGGACAAGGAGCAGGACCACGGGCCACCAGGGATGGCGACGAACGTCTCCAGAGCAAGCCTGTAGTCATCGGAGAAAAACCCAGTCCACACGGTGAATGTCTACAAGGCCAGGAGACGAACAGCCGATACCTTGCGAGGGTCACTTGGAGCAATCCAACTCACTTCCCGGGAGGACGAACGTCCCCACTAATCAGGCGGGAAACCTAGATTCTGGCGGGAAGTGCATTTAATGCTGAAGATTTGGTAGTTGGGACACCAGCGGTCCACAGGCTGCCACGTCAGTTCAGCCACCTGCCCATTGGTGGGTATAAATAGAAGCATTTATTTCATTGTAAAGGGTTGGCAACTTTCTATTCTTAGCTTACTAGCTTCAGCATTCTTACTCGCAGCATTCTAACTGCCTTGTAGGACGAACGGCCGACGTGCCCTTTTTAGCAAGTAGATTGTACTTAGGGGAGTTATTACGAAGTTAATAATACCTATTTACATTGCCTGCTATTATCTTTGTTTCCTGATCCATCTGATAGTTGTTGGGCTAGATATTCATACACTTACTCCATTCGAAATCTTTGGGCTTACGTGTTGGGTCCAAGGGTTGAAGGAATAAACCTCAACACCTTTGAACTTCATGAATATTATTAAGATGAACACTTAAAATGATAAAGCTACATGGTATTATGTGGGGTTTGTTTTGAATTTTACTCGAAATCCAAAATATTGAAGTATCCACTAAGAAGCGTAGTACCCGTCTCTTTTAGTGCTAGACTATTGCGCTAGACATTTTTGATATCCTTCTTTGAAAATTTTCATATTTAGTCATTATAATAATGACATTTTAGTCATCTACTATTCCACTTATTATGTCACAATCATAGTGGAATGACTAAAAATGTTAATTTGATAATGTTCAAGGGATTAAATGTGAGAAACTTTGAAGTCGAGGACTAAAAGTGTCCCTAACATAATAGTCGAGGACTGAAATTGGAAAAATTAATTGCCGAGTACCAAAAATACCAGTCAGCGAATAATGACAAGCCGAGTACGCTATAATCGAGGGACTGAAAATGACAAAAACTTGTGTCTCACAATGAATTATCAGTCAGCGATTCATGACATTTTGATCATCTATATTTACAACATGACCCAATTCGCATACTTTTATCTAATCAACCTTATTGTTGGTAAGAAATATCTAGAGAAAAGGACAACAATAAGGTATAATAAAAATGGCATACATTTACAAGAGAGTTGTTGACTTATTTATAGGCCGGGTTTACAAGACATTGTTCACTAATTAAATAATAATTGGGTTTTGGCTCAATTTAAGAGCTCGTGTCAACATTAATGGGCTAGCCATCTCGACAAGTAATTAAATAGTTTTGGACCGATTTCCGCTAATCGGGTCATGTTCTGGGTCTGGTATAGCTCACTCTTGGGTTGAACAAGTCGTTAGCATTTGATCTGGCCAACTATCCCCAATACAAGTCCCCCACTCCCTTAGTCGAGTAGTAAACTCGGCTAAAATGGGGCATTAAGCTACTTTGGGCTGAACCCATTCGCTAGGGAATATAGTTGGATTAAAAAGTCGAATAAAATAAATTGAATCCCAACCAAAATAAACTGAACCACAAAAAATCAAAACTAAATGCAAGAAACCGAACCGAACCGTAGTTGTTTTATTCAGTTCCGACTATGACCTTTCAAACTGAACCAAATAAATCGAACTAATTAAAATATGAAATTTTATTTGCTAATCATTGTTAGTCCTTGATTTTTTGTGCTAGAAAATTAATGTCTTGTCTCATATGTATTACGAAATTCTTATTAGATGATACAAAGTATTATGGTAAGTTATTATATTTGTGATTTAGTTTGGTTTACCATTTGTTTTTACAGTTTCATTCCCTACGTACAATAATATACCTATATTGATCTATTATTTATTTCTTTGTGAAATGATCCATTAATTTTTTATGTATGTATTTTGTAGTTTGTTGCATGATGGTGATACGCTTTTGGAGCCTATTACTAGTAACTTTTGTTCTTATCCTTATGTAACCTAAAGTTTTTATATTGACAAAACAAATAAATATTAATATAATGAAGAATTCTATTTACCACAACTTGGATTACTTGATTTAGATCATTCAATCAAATGATATGACTGAAATGGTTAAAGGTGTTCTTCTAGAAATCTCAACAACGATTGTCTTACTTTCTCATCTACTTTAACCTTAATCCTCTCATATTCTCATAATAATATCTTTATACAATTTGTATCACATTGATTTATCTTTAGTATGGAATTTAAATGATTTCATTTGGATTTGTCTACGAAATGATATTCTCAAACAATTGAATGATTCTCATCATGACTGAAGGTTGTGAATTGGGTTGTGGTCCAAATAGCCGTTTCCGAGGTCTAACTTTTATTCTTCATCTCCAAAGTCCATCTTGAGTTATTATCCCTTTAAAACTTATAAAAGTCCTTCCAAAAACAATAAAACCTGCGTAACACATATTAAATCAAATTTCAATAAATCAAATCGTAGCAAAATAATGCAAAAAAATTACTCTAGGAATATGTACAAATGACTTTCTTCTACACATTGAAGTGTAGTTTGGAATACGGACTTATCATCCTTCAAATAGGTTTGTTGGTGTTTACATCGATTCCATGGAGTTAGACATGAAGGTTCCACTATGTATCTTTCTAATAGTGCTCCTTAGGCGTCTTAGGTGCGACGACCCCGATTGTCCATATGTTTGTCGCTGCCTCCTTAACTCAGTGTGAGAAGGTGTCCATCTGACCATCCATCTCATGACTTCACTATTGTTTTTTATGGAGTCGTCTCGTCATAAGCTGAGCGGCTTTGGTTTGTCTCATTCTTTGAGGCACTAAGACATAAGCTATTTGAGCAGTATCCTGATTTGATCAGGAAATGGCAGAGCGTATGGGTATGGGTGTCTAGTCTTCCCGCGTCTACTATCACGTTTACTTGTGGTACTTGAGTGTGGAAGCATTAGCTTGTTTATGTCACTCTTGACCTCGAGGATTACGTTGGTACTTTGTTTTAGAGAAGTCCCTTCTCATTTAGCTCATACATGGGCAAGTGTCGCGCTATGAGGTGTTACATCTGTTGCTGTACACACCCAGGGCCGTCTTTTAGGAGGTGCAATAGGTGCTTAGCACCGGGGCCCACTCTTGTAAGGGGCCTCCAAAAATTTAGAATGTAGTATTAGTTATATGTTGATTTTTCTAGATGTTATGTATTAATCCAGATTCCAAAAGATATATAACTTTTAGATTCTTTAATTTGTGCACTTTAAACATCATAAAACTTATATTTCATTGAATTGTCTAGTCTATTTGTATTTTATTGTTAAATCTTGTATTTTTTCTTGTTTAAGGGGGCCCCAATTTTCAATTTGGAACCAGGGCCTCCAAAATCATTAGACGGCCCTGTACACACCCT